CTAAATTCGCCAGTAACACCACCTTGTATAAATTCGCCTTATCTAAAACTATTCAGCTACAGAACCAAATTCATCAGCTGATTATTATGTATTTATGTTAGTCAATCATTTATTTAGAGAGGATAGTATCGCGCAAAGCGTATCAGATATATCAAATGTGCTGGAATGAGAGTTAAAATCCTGGCATAAGTAACGGAGTAGCTCGAGTAATTCAAGATTAGTTTTACAAGTTTTCAAAAATAGGGGACACAAGTGTCTTGATACCCGGGATGAAACATTAAGGCTTGCTTCACCCAGAAGAAGCGGACTTAAAATTAAGCCTGTCAGTAATTTAACCATAAAAAAAGCAACGCTTCCTCGTGAAAGCCATCGTGTTTGAGATATGCCCAAGATTTTGTGGGGTTTTACCGAACAGTAGTCCTGAAATTCCTTCAGTTCATTTATCCTCTTTGGACTTTGGGAAAAGAAACTAAATATGTTGCGGCACAGTGTCTCAATGCTTTTCGGCAATTTTTTACAAAGGTGAAGTGAGTGGCATGTGCATTTTATATAAAATAAATTGGTTTCTACATTTGGCAAATATTTATATGCAAAATTTGGTGGAAATGTATATTTTTATAATTAAGAATTTAAAAACTTAGTTCAACTATCCGACCAAAATCTTTCTTTGCCGACCAACCTACCAAATGAAAAAGAAGCGACCAAATTTGGTCGGAAAATACCAACAGTGGCAACACTGAATTCAACAAACAAACACAAATTTGACGGTCTCATGCTTCCTTCACGCTGAAATGTATATCGAGCCCTAGCCGCGAAAATGAATTAACAGCCAGTTTCACCAAATTATTTAAGTTTAATTTTCGAATTTTTGGTTTCACCAATCAATTTTTAATTTTGATTTAAGTGACCTATGCTCTTCACTTAAATAAAAATTAAATCAGAATAACCACACTCAGAGGTGTTACACGTTTAATCACCTGATCATTGTGTATCTGCTGCTTACTTGTATACCAGCCCTGCTTTTACAACACAGAGTGCCAAAGCTTTCAAAAGCTCTCAGCAAAAATGAAAGCTTTCGCTAGCCTAGTCTGTTTTACAACCACTTTTTATTCACTTAAATAAATAGTTTATTGAAACTGAAAATTATCTAAATGAGAATTAAATACAAAATTAAATTAAAGTAAATTTCCACTTAAATAGTTTGGTGAAACTGGCTGTAAGACATCTTTTTTCAAAATTTAATTCTCATGCATAAATGCCTCTTAGAGTACCTGCATCAAAAAGTAAATTAAAAACAAAAGTAAGGGCGCCTGGGCCACACTGTAGAAGTGAAACTTACGTTACTTATCTATCTATACATACACACATCTGCTTTTGCTTAAGGTTATATTTTTTCGCTTTTTTTCGATCAATGTAGATCCCTACCTCTACCACTGTTCGTTTTAATAACATCCTTGTTATTCTGTTTTTCCATTATCTTCATTTTTATCTTCATACTCTATCGATAACAAAATCGATCATAACGTCCATCAAAATATCGATAACAAAATCGATGACAAATTCGATAAAAATTTCAATTGCAACATCGATAATACCATTGGTAGCTAAATCGATTAGAAAATCAATAAAAATATCGATAACAAAATCGATAAATATCGCTAACAAAGTCGATAAATATCGATAACAAAATAGATAAATATCGATTACAAAATCGATAAATATCGATTACAAAATCGAAAAAAATCGATTACAAAATCGATAAATATCGATAACAAAATCGATAAATATCGATAACAAAATCGATAGACATCGCTAACAAAGTCGATAAATATCGAGAACAAAATCGATAACAAAATCGATAATTATCGATAACAAAATCAATGAATATCGATAACAAAATCGGTAAATATCGATAACAAAATCGATAAATATCGATATCAAAATCGATAAATATCGATAACAAAACCAATTAAAATATCGATTATTTAATCGATGTCTCGAGAAGCTCGAAAATCTCTAAAATCCCAAAATAGTTCCCAGATTGAGTCTTTGTGTCTCTCTCTATATCCTTTCCTCTTCAACTACCTTTACCTTAATATTTCTTCCCCTATGTTCATCTTTACTTTTATCGGTATCCTCGTCCTCATCTTTGTTTTTACTTTTATGTTTATCATTTTCTTCATCAACATATTCCCCTTCACCTTTGCCCTTATATATATAAGTAAAGTGTTTAAATTTACCTTGGTCTTCGTTTTTACCTTTATCTTTACACATCTTTGTTTTTATTTTTATTTTTACCTTTGCCTTTATAATTTTCTTTATCTATGTACGTACTGACCTTTACTTTCATTCTTGTACTGTTATTTCGAAGTGTTATCCTCTAACCTTTTATTAGCAAGTTTTTGTTAAATTCATACCATACTTACTTGTTTACAAGTACTTGTTTCAGCTCCAACCATTTCCATTGTACCATTTCCGTTGCACCATTTCCGTTGCATCATTTCCGTTGCATAATTTCCGTTGCACCATTTCCGTGTGCAGTTTCCGCTGAATTTGCCAATTTACTCCCACCCAACCAACCGCCGCTAAAGAAGTTTCACTTCAAAAAAAATATATATATACATTATTTTAGCGGTTAGGGATCGGTATGACGAATTTCTCCGATACTCCTCGTTATTTGGAAATCTGAAAAATAGGAAGATAGAATATTTTCCTAACAAAGACAAAACTTATTTACACATAAAGTGGTGTGGTATTTTATATGTTGGCCGAATCCAATAAAGCACGTTATTCGATTCCCTTCTATGCTGATTGGCGCCAATTGGAAATGCCAACTGATGCCAAGTCCTTCTCTAATTGGTATTTTTATCCTATGCCACCAGCAACGGCCGCAGCGCTTCTCATAGATTTACAAAAATTTTATTTTTTGTTAATTTTTC